GTTAAATATAGTGTTCTAGGTTGGCATGGTTTGAGTGGATTTGTTTTGTTGTTTAGGTTAAACTCAATTATGCGTTGTTTTGAGCATTGTGTGTTCCAAGATTGTGTTGCATAGAAGCTGACATTCCAAGTGGGAGTTTGTAGTTAGAAAGTTAGTTCAATCTTGAAGTTGACTCAAGTGACGAGGGAGGCAGAGTAGTGAGTTAGGATTATGATAGGTTTAGAAACAGCAACGAAAAGATGATGGGGATATCGGGTTCACATGATGCCAACCAAGTCAAGAAATTTCACCTAATTTTTAGTTTTGCACCCCTGAAGGAATTTAAATAATGTAATGTTGCACTGAGACTAATAGATGATATGTAAAATACATTCAAAATAACATATGAGTCAAGCCATATTTGTCTTAGAGAACATTTGAGTTTTTTTTAGGCTCTTACATACGTCTGTTTAATCACTTATGTCGTTTTCGTTTGATCTATTCAATCCAACGATTAAAAATAAAGAGGTGAGTGTGAGGAGTTAAAAATGGTGTGTGGAAATCACCTCTCTTATTTTATCAAATCCTGACTTCACCACCACACATATTTCAATTCCTTCCAATGCATCAAAACATGAAAATTTTAAGTTGTGTTTAGTGCAACTATATCAACCACTTTGGATACGTATTTGAATGTAATAATACTAATATGCTTACGTGCATATTCATAACTTTACTTACGATTTCAAAACATAGCTTCATTAGTTCTTTATTTTATTTTATTTTATTTTATTTTTTGTTGGTTGACAACGGAGCGTAAGTCCGAAAGAAAATGAAATATTACTACTATGGAATTTCTTTTCTTCTCTTTGTTGAAATACGAATATAGAACTTGAATTCCTCATGGAGGGCAAGACTTGGTTTTGAGCCTTGGAATTTAGAAATGGGTTTAGGGGTGGCTCGAGGCTCTGCAATGCCAGGAAAGCCGGTCCAATTTTAGTAAAGCCCATGAAAATTTGCAAGGAATTACAAGCCCAACACTAATTTGTAGGTGCTAAAAAGTTTGTTAGAGTGAAATTTCCACTAGGAGTAGATAATTAGATTGACAAACAAATGAGGGTTTTTAACTTTAATCTATTCGTACCGACAAAAATCCCGGATTTTTTCTGGTCCAAATTTATCTTATTTTACCGATAAACTAATGAATGAAGCTCTATTGAAACGACAATAATAAAAAAAATCCTTTTTGGCTTGAACAAGTTCGATTCTTGATGTCACTTGGTACTACAGTAATATTTCTTTACTTATAAGTAAAATGTCTTATGATCAATTCGCATCAAAGGTAAATTTGAACCACATCATGCTTAACTTATTATGAGGCTTAGTCCACTTCTCCATCCTTTAATATAAATAATATCATTTTTAAAAATATAAAAACCTTAAAAAGCAAATGTGACCAATTATATGATATCAATCTTATCTATGTAACTAGTTTTTCTTATATTGATAGGATAATTTATTCATATGCTTATTTTTACTACATATCTTTGAAAACTTTTTACCATTGATCTCTTTAATTCATTCGATTTGAAGACCAAAAATTAAAAGGCATGTGAGAAATAATAGCACTACCCATATTGATATGTGAACCCTTAATATCTCTCAATTAGCCTCCCCCTATCTCCCCCATTGCCTCACCCTTCCTCATCTCCATTCTCTCATTCGAGAGATTCTTCAGTGTTCCAAGATCATGGAGTGGTATATCCATTTTCTCCACTTATATGATGACACATAGTATACCATTCGTAGTCTGCGCATAATGAAAAATTTCTCCTCCTGCACAGTCTTGCAACTTCCATCCACACTCCAATGCAATGCAGTCTTCACCCGATTTTTCTAGTTTTTATTTGATTTGAGTTCGTTGGTGGGTATTTGAACCCAACAAAAAAAAAGATCAAATGAGTTTAAGCCCTAAACGAATAGAACCAATGGGAACGTACCTGATTATTTTATTCGGTTCACGATTTTTCAGTTTTAAGGGTGAAACTCATTTCCCAATTGATTTTATAAACCTCAACTTCCTCCGCAAATAAGTTTATCTAGAATACAAATTAGAACGTCATACTAAGCCTCGTTTGGGGGGTTGGTCTGGATAGCATCAAACGAGGCTTTGAGAAATGGACTGAGATGAGTAAGACAATACGATTTTGAGCCTATGCAAACCTTATCTTGTGTTTTTATAAATTTGGAGTGCATATAATTTTGTGAAGTGTTGATAACAACTCCAGAAAATATCCATGTTTAAGTTATTATTGTCTTGAGCCACCTACACATCTCTTTTCACCTCTCACACATCCTCTGTTAATTTTTGTTCTTAAATTTTTTTTAATTTATTCGATCCGACAATGATAAATTGAAAGAAGTGCGTGAATAGCATCACCATTTGGGTAATGGCTCGCCATAATCCTTACTCATGAAGTCAGGATAGGATTAATAGTTGAAATAAGATCAAGGGGCTATAAAACTTCAAAACCCCTCTCTGGTATGAGCATGAAAACAATTATACTATTCTTTGCTTTTAATATAAGCCTATTATTTACTTGTAGTCCTACGGTTTAATACATATTCTTTGTAAGGGGTCTTAAATTCGACTCTTATAAATGATGAGTAAGCTTTGAAAAAGAGTGATAGCTAGCTATGAGTTGGTTGAAGTCTATCTCTTATAACATTAATTTGTAGTGGAGTAAAAGGTGGGATATGTGAGAATATTGCTGTCGGGAACCCTCCAAAACGTACGTGTCGAATTGTGGGAGACTAACTCATGTACCACATTGTACTCAAACAACCTCATTCACACCTTCGACATATCTTTCTGGAATTTTTTCTGGCACTGATAGATATGTCAATTTCCTCGTTTCTGATAACGTCGGCACACAGCAAAAGGTAATGCGACCCCCTCCACTCATTACCACGTTGAAATTGCTCATGTAATAATTCTTTGCAGGTGCAGTTTTATAGCCCTAGATAGTTCAAAAATAATTACACAAGATTCTGTACACATTGCGCAACACGACGACCTCTCTGACTGTACGAGGCTACAAAACCCTAGCCAGGTCTGTGAGACAGTTAATTTTGAGATAAATTTCATCTTCTTACTGTCAAACTGGAACCCTAGTTACCAGTGCAATCCCATGTTGAATCCTGTATGAGCTATGTATGTGTGTGTGCTCGCGTGTTATGGAAGCAGTAACACGTAGACAGGCACTGCATTCTGCAGTTAAGTTACTGGAACTAGGGTTAAAAGGACAGAGAAAGCACTATTATAAACGTGAAGACTAATTTCAAAGAACAGCTATGATGTTATCTGAAACTGGTAGATCTGCACAGACATGTATAGCTCAATGTGATTGAGGTATTCCTTTTCACATGATCTCTTCTTCTACAGACTTGCTTTTTTGGTACATCAATTAAAGAAGTTGGTATATGATGGACGAAGAATAAAATTTTTTAACAGAATAAAACAATAGCATCAGTAAAAGCATTAGAATAATGCCAAAAGCAACAAACTGAACAATTCACATGCTAATCGAGCGAGTTAAGCAAGGGAATACACAATTAAAATGCTCATTGTTTACTCCATGCATGCACCTTCTCACATGCCCCCTCATGTAGTGACATTCAAGCCAAACATGTGAACCAGATGACATTAAATATTTGTAGTCGTTGAGCTTCACACTCATGTCAACTTGCTTTTATATCATGAAGGAATTGGTTGAGGTTCCACCTGAATTGATGATTCGTAATGGAAGGAGTAGTCTAACTCCTTTAAAGCCCATGTAAGGTTCTTTATTAACTTTCTGACGTGGAACAACCTTTCACATCTTACACGTTCTCACACGTATAGCAAAACCAGTGTTTTAAAAACCTCGCCCCAAGGCACACCTAGTCGGCTTTGAAGGCAGAGTGGGAGGAAAATCGCTTCTGTTTTTTGGGAGTGGACGAAAAACTCACCTAGCTTTGACGGGGTGCACCTAGGCATCCGAGGCATGCCTAAGGCATTCATTGAGCATCCTTGTTTTCCATTTTGAGTCTGCCTTCCCAAAGACAAAGATGAGTCGTAGGGCTTTTTTTTTCCTTTTTGATATTCTTTCTCTTTAAAGTTTAAAATGATCCTATTTTTCTAACATTTATTACGCACTATCTTCTTTTATGTTAAGTTTTATTTTTTATGTTATTGTTTCTCCTATGTAAGATAGATAAGCATCTTTAATTTTTGTTTTAATTTTTTTTATTTTTTGTACAAAGAAGCATTTTTTTTTTCCTGAATATTTTGCCAGAAGGAAAAAAGATAAACATCTTTTGTTTTTATTTTTTTAAAGTTTTATTATTTTCTTAAAGGAAACATTATTATTCTTATTTCTATTTTTAAGACTATCCAAATATTACCAAAACCTCTCATATATATATATATACACTTACTTAATATTCTAGATGTCTGATTCTACTCTATTTGTTTGATTGTTGATTAATTTGATTACTTGGTTAAACTTGTTTGTGATGTTGTTTGTGACTTGTGCACTTTTGAATAACAATGAATATTTATTTTATAAAGTATTATATTTATTTTATATGTTATATATAATTGTATATATTATATATTAAAAAATTTAGGCCTCACGCCTTCACCTAGGCAGGACTATCCATGAAACTTCTTGCCTAAGCCTTCGCCTTTCAATACATTGAGCAAAACTGAAGCAAAGAACGTGGACAACACATTATATTGAGTGATGTCGAGCATATGTGCTCATCAAGCTTTATGCACGGGTCAACCTGTTTTGACACAAAAACGATGGTTGAGGCTCCCCTCCAAAACTATTATAAGCTTATACAAGGTTCCTTTAAGTCATCAACATTGGACAGCTCTCAACCTCTTCACACAAACCATGAGGACAAAAGGAGAAAAGACAAAAAAGAAAACAAATCATACAATTGGTAGCTAGGGTAGCATAAAAGTATATATATAAGAATGCAACAAGAGGCACTTCATGAAAGATTCATCTACTGAAGATTGATTTCCACTTCACATCTAATAACCAACTTACTACTTTCAAAGCAAGAAAAAACATGGTTGAAATTGCAGATCACACCAAGGTTCTTATAAGGGAATTCAGTGAAGACACAGATATTGAAGTGGTGGGGAAACTAGAGAGGGACTGTGAGATAGAGTCTAAAAAGGGGGTCTCCATTTTCACGAGCATGATGGGTGATCCCTTTTGTAGGATTAGGTTCTACCCCCTTCATGTTATGCTGGTAGGTTAATTAGGGTTTACTATTTTCCCTCTTATATTTTGCCCAAACAGTATGAAAACCTTTTCAATTTTCATATATCACAATCATTAATGCTTTTCTATCTCTCTTCCAATAAGCATTTGCATGATTTATATATTTCTTGGAGCTAGCTACTTTTTATACAATAGTCCCTCTGTCCCCCACCCCTCCAAGGGGGTTGTTAATGCAAATGACCCGTAGCATTGCTACACCGTTAATATGTTTGAAAATTGCCAACAGGTAGCAGAGCTGCTTGAAAACGGGGAACTTGTTGGCGTGGTTCGAGGATGCATAAAGCATGTAGGGACTGGTTCCGGGGCAAGATACGTGATAGGTTGCATACTAGGCCTTCGCGTCTCTCCTATACACCGGTATTCTCCGCTTTGTTTTTCGGATAGCATAACAAAAAAACTGTTTTACAAATCATCCGTAACTAGACAACTTATAACTTTGTATGTTTTTCCGTTTAGGCGGATGGGAATCGGGTTGAAACTCATGAAGTCGGTGGAGGAGTGGTTGCTGAGGAAGGGAGCACAGTACACATTCTTGGCAACTGAAGAGAGCAACACCGCGTCCACCAATCTCTTCACTTACAAATGCAATTACAGGAAGCTCAGCTCGCTGATCATATTTGTTCAGCCAGTTTGTTCTGCTGTAGAGGATCCGATGCCTCGAGATATAAAAATAGAGAAGCTACATGTCGACGAGGCAATTTTCTTGTACAAAAGCAGGCTAAGGAGCAAAGACATATATCCAACAGATATTGACGTGATCTTGAAGGAAAAGCTCAGCCTCGGCACTTGGGTGTTCTATTTTGAAGAACAAGGCTGGATCAACTTAAACAGTGAGGAAAGTAGTAAGGACACCGCCGGCGAAACTCAAAGCTCTTGGATCATCTTTAGCATATGGAATACCTGTGAGGCTTACAAGTCTCATCCACTGAGATCTTTGCATGCTATTGCTACCCTAAGCCATGCAACGGAGAAATTTTTCTCCTGCCTAAATCTGCCAGTCAGTGTCTCCATGCAAAGCTCCTTCGGGTTTCTCCTTCTGTACGGGCTTCATGGAGAGGGAGAGAAAGTCGGGGAGCTTATGAAATCCGTCTGGAACTTCGCCTCTAGGTTGGGACAAACTGTGAAGGACAGCAAGCTGATTTTAACCGAGCTGGGGTTATGTGATCCTCTTATAAAGCATGTCCCTAAGGATTCCGATATGTCATGTATCGAAGATGTCTGGTACGGCAAGAGTTTGATCAACCACGCTGATGACAAAGATGAACTGCTAGTACAGGGATCACTTGGGAATGTGTTTGTCGATCCTAGAGAGTTCTAGGGTTGATTACTAGGCTCTGAGTGCCAACGTTCCAAAAACATCCCCAGCTGTTCAGCACACCAACTTTGTTGTTGTATTCATCTTCTGTTTTAGTTAGTTGGAATGGCATTAAACACTGAAGAGAGCCAATATCCTTAGGTTTTTCGGGTTGTAATGATTTTCGCACTTCCAGTTTTCCTTCTTCACTTCTCTTGTTTTTGTCTCTTGATTCTCATTTAATTTATCCATTCTTAAATTCTTATGACCAAAAACAAGGGCAGAGTGCGGATTGCGGAAGGAGAAAAAGAGAGTACGAAATCCTACAAAATACGTTTGTCGAGAGTACACCCTTAGTCTGCATTAAAATCAAAACTCATTGTTCCTTTTCTGCATTCGATTCAGAATACCTTTAGATGGATTTAACAAGACATTCTTAGGAGAGATGCACGCTGCGACTAAATTAGAACCAACAAAACAAAAGGGGAAGCGATTAGGTTGATGCTCCGTGATTATGTATTTCAACGGGAAACCAAAACCCGAGATATCTCTTAACTCTGTTAACCCATGAAAATGTTCCAATCCTCGTGTGCCAGGCTCAGTCATCTCTTCTCTTATTGTTAGCAGGAGAATTTTGCTCTGTAAGGATCTTTAGAACATTAACCAATGCTCGCAAGCGGTCCCAAATGTTCATGCCGTAGAGCGCTTCAACAAGTGATTCCTGGAATTCAAAGCCATTCTCCGCAACGGGATACTGTTGTTGGCCAAGTAACAAAATCAGTCAGATTTGTAGTTTTAATGTGCGAGAGAGATGACATTACAGTTCACTTTTGTTATCTGACCTGAATAGGCTTTGGTATCTTGGTCTTAATGTATGGCCACCATCTATCCTCGACAACTGATTTTACAAGACAACAAGCTCGCAATCCTTCTACACCAGCAAACCTTCCAAATCCACTGTCTTTCACACCACCAAATGGCAGGGACTGAAAATTTGCGAGAGTACGAGACATCTTTAGTTCATTGGATTAACAATGTCATCATGTTGAACAAAATCATAACGAGTTATGTTGCAACAAGGATACTTTTACACTTCAACCAAAGAGATCTCTGATTTATGACAACGAAAACCTTTCACCTTCAACCAAAAATGAAAATAACAAGGACGAAAACTGAAACAATATCAATTGCTAGCTGATAAAATATTTACCTGACACATGTACGTTGATGCAAAATCATTGATTGCAGCAACTCCACAGTGTATTTGGGAAGCTATCTCTTTTGCACGACGCTGGCTGCCAGAAAAAACAGCGCAGCCAAGACCATATTTTGAGTCATTAGCAAGCTTGACAGCCTCTTCATCAGTGCTAAATTTCATTATTGGCATGATTGGTCCAAATGCCTGCAAAAATGTAGAAGGCATTTCTCCATGTAACTAATTGGAGATGAAAGGTGCACCAGAAAATGCCACCAAACATGCGAATTTAGATACCTCCTCTTGCATCAACTTCATCGTGTGGTTTACATTTTCAATGACAGTAGGTGGGAAAAACTGATCAACTGCGCCTTCATCTATATGGCCAACACTTCCCCGAACAACAAACTTTGCTCCTTTGTCTAAGGCATCATTTACAAGGTTTTGAAGCCTTTCAGAGTGCTCTTGCAAACATATAGCTCCCATATCATACTTTCCAGTAAGTGGTGGGCCCTACAAATAAGACCAAATAATAGAATCACAAGTTTTAAACATTAAGTTCTTAAAACTGCTACTTGATCTCAACAGAATGCTTTACGTTATTCAAGATTATAGAATGCACAGCTCTTATTGGGCCCATCTATAAGTATACGTTGTATAACTGTCTCAACAGAACTAGCTGGTTAATTTTTCAGTATTTTTTTCCCGACCATTCCAGCCTATGTAATCACTAAGAACCTGGGAAGATGGGTCTGCGTCTGGCTGACATTGTAATTAAAAGGATATGTAGTGGATGCAACTGCTAACTGTGAAATCAACTTCAATGAAATCGCGAAAAAGAAAAAACAGTTGCAAAACAACCTAAAGATTCATTTTTTCATACCAAACATGCTGAAAGGGACATACTTACAGCAGAAACAGATTTTACAATCTTGGAAACTTGACTGACAAATGAAGAATAAATCTTCTCATGAACATAGAATCTCTCAGCCCCAGCACAGTTCTGTCCACTTGACTGTAGAACTGCCCTCACAGCAATTTGGGAAACCTAAATTGAGTAGTTAGGTTAAACAGTGTTCAGGAATACAAAAAACTATAATCCAAAATATCGGCAATTAAATGTTCATATCTGATGAAATACATGCAGAGGTAGGAAAAAAACCATACATGTTCCACATCCACGTCTTCACAAACAATGAATGCATCTTTTCCACCAAGTTCAAGTGTAACTGGTGTAAGATTCTCAGCAGCCCTTCTCATTATCTGCAGAAATAGCAGAAGTGAAAGTTGAAAGTGAGAAGCCTGTTCTAGGAATTAAACAAGAACAGGAAATCCATCCGATCAGGCAAAAGAAGAACATACCATCTTACCCACACCAGGCGATCCAACAAATATTATCTTGTCAACAGAAGACACCAGTGCTTCTCCAGTTTCAGCAAACCTAGTGAGATAGAAAAAGTTTGATCATAAGGAGACAGTTAAACAAGACTAGAGAAGTTAACAACCCCACTCCCAACTAAAAAAAAATCAATACCCTGTTACAACGTCAACTAAATTTTCAGGTGCTCCTACAGCAGCAAGGGCTGATTGGATTATTCGGAGGTAGAAACAACCAGACCAGGTTGCGTGTTCTGAAGCCTGCAATTACAAGCATATAACTGTCAAATTAACAAATAATCTTCAGAGCAATTCATTAGAAGATAAATCATGTATATATACTTTTTTTCTGAACCAGGTTTTAATGATATATAGCCTAAATCCCCAGCAACGAATAATAGCTAACACAGATATGGGGTGTTTACACAACCATCAAGTCGAATGGAATAAGGTGTTAGGGATATAGAGACAAGTGAATTGTCTTTCTAACAAAAAGTACAAAAGTGCAGCTAGTGATTAAATAAAATAACAGTGGCCATTCTAAAAATAACTACCTTAATCACAATGCCGTTTCCAGAAAAAACTGCTGCCAACATTGGATTAAAAATATTATGAAAAGGATAATTCCATGACACAATGGCACCAACAACTCCAAGGGGATGGAATTCCACTTTGGATCTCTTGTGAAGCATTGACCTTCCGCAACATCTGAAATTTTTTTCATGAGCAATAATCACAATACAGTACATTTATATGTCCATTGGTGGAAGTGAATCTATGTTGCCTAAAAACCATTAAAAAAATAAAGATAGAAGCTCCTTATATGGGTTAAAAAGCAAAAAAATGGATAGAAATGGTAAAATTGATTTAGTGATAAGGTGAATGCTCAAAAAAGAGTACAGTATAAGAAATCAACATTAACATAAAAAATTAGATTGTACTGATATCATTCAAGACAGCAAACATTGCGAAATGTATATCACTGATACTGCAATTAAATAAACCATGATGGAGATGGCCAACAAGGTATTTATCACAGCAGACTGTTATCTTACTCAAATTAACGGAGATCAGATAATATATAGAAAATGTAAACAAAGCAGAAGAAAAAATACCGGTATTCAGGCTTTAGCCAACGCTCACCCTCTGAAAGAAGCCAAGTGATCTTCTCACATGTTGTCATTATTTCACCTAGAGACGCATCTACCATAGTCTTTCCCGTATCACGTGAAGATATTCTAATCAAAATTTATGTGTGTAAGTACACAAACTAATCTCTTATAAAAACACAGTACATGTGGAACCCATGTATGAGATGAGAGAGAGAGAGAGAGAGAGAGAGAGAGAGAGAGAGAGAGAGGGAGATTTGAATAGAGTACTTACTCACATATAAGCTCTTGGTGTTCGATAATATACTTCAGCAGAATCCGGAGAAACTGGCGTCTTTGCTTGAAGCTACTCTTTGCCCACGCTTTTTGTGCCATTCTTGCTTGATCTACACGCTTCTTGACCTGACATTTACAAAGCGGAATTTACCAATTTTGTGATATTCTGATCTGGGTGATCTCCACCTCTTTTATCATTTGAACTTGTTTGTAAATGCAAAATTATGCACTATGCAGGCACAAAATCAAGCTCATCACTTAATACCGAATGGAACAATAATCTGCCCATTTAGAATTCAAGAAAGAGGAGTACAATATTAGAACACCCTACACATTCAATTGACCAATCCCCACATCCAAGCATGCATAACATGTCTAACCTCAACGGGTGTCAGTGCAGGGAAATATCCCAAGTATTTCATGGTTGCAGGCTCATAGCACTGAACCTTGGTCTCCGCTTGTGGTGTCCTTCCCCTCGGAGGTACCTGCACGGTAAAACCACAATGTGAGGCTAACCAAATGAATGCTTCACACAATCACATTCAATACAACTCAAACGACAAGAATAAGTGCAAAGGGAAACAAATTTGAATGCAATTACAAGCAATTTAATTACTTCCAAAACTATAACTAGATCAGATTAACCGATAAATGCGAAGAAATTAACTACAATCAAAGAACTGGAGACAAATGCTTACAAAATTTTACAAATTCTAATAACAAATACAATCAAAAGGCGAAAAATCTTTGATAAACTCACGTATATGAAACTGTTCTCCTGCGTCTGATTCCCGTCATCCAACACTGCCATTGATCAAACCACGCCCAATTAATCAATCAATCACACAATCTGGAGAGAGAAAGAAAGGGAGAGAGGGAGGTAGCAGCGTACCGTCAGAAGCATCGACATCGATAGAAGGCACGTTGTGGGGAATGAGCATCAAGAGGAACCTACAAACGGCGTAAGCGAATCCGAGGACGAACAGAGCCCACCAAAACGCCATCGTTTCGAAGCAGGACACAAATCAAACGCCCTTACGCAGGAGACGAGAGGGCTGAAACAAAAACTTGCAGTTGCGTTTTCTGGCTACGAAGAAAACAAAACGAAAACAGGAAAAACCGAAAAAGCGACGGAGAGAGATTCTCTGGGAGGAGTTGGCTTTGGAAATGGATCGAGCTTACTTGTTTACTGGGGCTCTTCTTCCACTTTCTTCGTCGGGATATTTTGAGATGGACGGCTACGATGACATCTGTGATTTGATCGGGTCAGGCTAGCTTCTGAGTTCAAGCTTTCAAGGGGAAGGACATTTTTTTTTTTTTTTTTAAATGGGAACTATTAGTGACAAGCCACAGTTATCTACTTATTTGGAGACTGAAAAAACTCACTCACACATGACCACAAGTTTGGCTTCCAAACCAGCAGTGAGTTTCGAACACAAAACCTTCAGTTTTTAGTTTGAAAAAAGCTTCGCAATCATTCCTTTACCACTAGGCCACCAACTTGTGGTTGGTACAGAAGGACTGGAGTGAGGGAGAAATGTTCGTGTGTGGATCCTCTAAACCACGTGTTTATTTGGTACAGCGCGTGAGGTACTAAATTTTGTAATACTATTTTGTAGCGGTTGGATCTTGGTTATTTCAAAGAATAAACCTCATGTCATTAAAATCAAGTGTTATCCATATTCATAGACCATAATTATGACTATTATCACAAATCAAAGTCTCTCTCTCATAACACATGTTTTAGATGCTTTTTCAAAATCACTTGCATTTTTATTAAGAATTAGTTACAAAAATATTTTCATAAAAAATACTTTTAATTATTTTAGAAGTACTTTTAAATCAACGGTTCAGACTTAAACACATGAAACTTGAAGCACACGGCCATAAGGTTCCTTACTGCTCTTGCTTTTCTCATATTCTTGTAGTAAGTAGCTTGAAAAACCAAAAACAAATTAACAAATAGCAAGAAACCATGTTGATGCGTTCATATTTACACGCTTAGATAAAACCACAACACGTCATGATTAATTAATAATGATATGAATTGATTGTATGTACACGATAAATAATGAATAATGCGTCATAAGATTTTTTTACATTTATTAGATTTGCAGATCACATCTTTCACATAAAGTAAAAGAACGAGATGCAAATAATTAGACATTATTTATTAATCATAATATGGATCGTTTATGTTTCTCACACGAATTAAATGAACAAGATGCAAGCAATATTGCCTATTATGATTTGAGAAGTGATTTTTCTGAACAATTTTCTCCCTTTATACATTCAATTATAATTCCGTACATTAAATTGAATAACTTAAAAGAGAATTAAATGACAAATCTAAACAATTGAGGATTTAGGAATAGGTTTCTCTCCCTCCTATTCTCATCCCTTTTTCTCTCATTCTCTCACAATTTGCCTTTTGTCTTATTATCTTTATAAAAAATTCAATATAAAATATTGACGTGGTTTAACTATAATCGTTCAAATAGGATGAAAAAGAATAAGAGATATTATAAAAAGAGAGAATCCTCCTTCGTTTCACAAACAATGGTTATTATTTATTAACAAAGGAAATTTAGAATATTAAATGCTCTAGAACACTATGAAAATCTCCAGGTTGCAGTCTTTGCTTTGAATCTCAACCTTGTAAAAAAATAAAATTTTAACGAAAAGTTTATAGTACTGTTCACTTTAACAAAAAATTACATTTTTACACTAAAAAATCAATCATAGTACTATTCATTTTACCATTTATTTTATCTTTATCGTTAAAACTCAAAATTTTCAAGTTATTTTTATTAGTTTTTCTTATAAAAAAAAAAGCCGGAATCAAGCCTTCCATTTGAAACTCATTAAAGCAAACGACATGTCGTTTCAGTTACGCGCGTTTTGGGGCGAAACACTCCCGATCCCCAACACAGTGACACATAACCATTTTAACTTATCAACTGTCATTAATCAATCGTGTCTTATTCTCATAATTCGAAGCAAAGACAAACAATATCACTTCCCCAAAACATCCACCGTCCGATGCCTGTTCCCAATTCTCGGAGCCCCACACATAAAACCATCCAACGGCTAGCATAAACTACAAGTGGAGCCATCACATCGTTACACGTACCCGAGTTCCCTCAAGGTGGTCATTGCATAGAGAGCTCTTCTTTCTCAGGACTCCGTACTTTCGGTGTTGTTTCTGACCAGCTTTCCACAGAGAGACAGAGAGAGAGAGAGAGAGAGAGAGAGAGAGAGAGATGGAAGACAGGAGAGTAGGAGTGGCAATGGATTTCTCGCCGGGCAGCAGGGCAGCCCTGAAATGGGCTGTCGAGAACGTTGCCCGGAAAGGCGATCACCTTATCCTGGTGGTGGTCCGGCCTGAAGAGTACTACGAGCAGGGCGAGATGCAGCTCTGGGGCGTGACCGGTTCACGTACGCCTCCCACTCTCTCCTTCTCTCTCTATAAATTTATTTATAGATCAAGATTTAAACTTTCTCTCTTGCTTTTGTCATTTGTTTTTTATTTTTGGGTTTTGTTTGTAATGAGTGTGACTCAATTTTCATCACTGATAAAAAAAAAAACTGAAAAATACATAAAACTATGGTGGTCTCTGATCAAGACCTTTTGTTTCAAGTTTGGAAAATTTGCGTTTAGTTTTTAAATTCGATTTGTGGGTTTTGTTTGAGATTATGAGTGCATGCATGGTGATTAGTTGATAAATCGATGGACTTGTTTGCAGCTTTGATTCCTGTGAAGGAGTTTTCTGATCCCAACGTTATGAAGAAGTATGGAGTGAACCCTGACGCTGAAACCATCGACATCGCCAACGGTGCGACGCAGAAAGAGTATAGAAATTGATTTCTTTTAATTATTATTAATCTTGAAGAATCATACTAATTAAGCTATGTTTTGATGATATGATTAAAAAAAAATTGATAACTAATAAGTGATGTGATAATTAATAATTATTGGGCTGGATTGGAGCAGGTTACCGTGGTGATGAAGATCTACTGGGGCGATGCCCGTGAGAAGATTCTTGACGCTATTGACAAGACCCCCTTGAGCTTCCTTGTTATTGGAAGCAGAGGCCTTGGCAAGATTCAGAGGTACATATTCATATACATTGCAATTCATAGCATGTTTTCGATTTTAATTTGAAATGAATTGCACCGTGCAAAAGTTGCAGTTAACTTGATAGTTTAATGAACAGAGAAGCTGTGTCACTAGTACTACGGTTTAGTAAGTGAGAGGTTATAGGTTAGACTCCCTGAATAACAATCGAGTTTGATACCAATTTATTATGTTGGCCAATTGTGTGGCATAATTCAAATTTTCCACCCCTTTGGTGTAAAATAGCTTTGTGTATTAAAATGGACAGAGGAATTGTAAGTTTAGGGGTGGTTTTTGAAATTTTTTTATGATACGTCTCCTAAATTTACAAGTTAACTGGCTAAAAACAGACTTAGAATTTCTGTTTGTGTTTTGGGATTTTTGTGCACATGTGGCGGAGTTGGTTGAGGATGTCATTCTTTTCCATGGGAAATTATTCTAACTTTTTTAAGAATATGCTTTTAAAACAATTTGAGCAACCCCAAACCAACTAAGGAATCCCCTTTAGTTGACTCTATGTATCTTTGGATTCAATGTTTAGGATTATGATTGGATTTCGACGTGCTTGTTGTTTTCGCAGGGTTATAATGGGCAGTGTCAGCATCCATATCGTAAATAATGCTTCGTGCCCGGTTACCGTCGTCAAGAGTCACTATGAGTCTCATGACAACTAAATCCTTTGTCCTCAATGCCTGCTTGGTAAATAAGTAGAATGCATCTATTGCTTCCTTTCCTGCAGCTGCAAGCCTTTTAGTTTGCACAAGATTTAGTTTTTATCTGAATAAGATCTAGTTAACTTATGGTTTCAGCTGTTTGTTGCTGTATGTTGGAGTTGGACAAATTTGATGTACGTATATCGGTACATTATATGCATTTGCTACCGTATATAATGTGAATTCAAGTTGTAGTCCAAGATGTTGATTTTCTTCCCAGAATTCAAGGTCTGATTAACTAAAGTTTCTCAGGTTCAGCAATCTACATCCAGTAAAATTAACAGGATAGTGGTTTTGACACCTTTTTTTTTTTTTTTTTTTTTTTTTGTGATTTTTTTTATATTTATCTATGCACACCAAACTGAATATCTTTTTATTTTAGTTGAAGAGCTTAAGCTAGTTGACCTTGTGTTTAGCTCAGGTGGTGAAGAACAAGGAAGAGTAAAGGGTTAGGGTTAGGATTAGGATCGGCCAGGGTTCGGGGTAGTATATTAGGGTTAGGGTCGGTCAGGTTCGATTCCCTTCAATGTAACAACAAAAACGAGCTTAAGCTCTTCTTTTATAAGGTATGCAGTGCACAAAATAGCCGAGTAGAGAGAGAGAGAGAGAGAGAGAGAGAGAGAGCATCCACCTATTATGGGAGATTGAATTCTAGTCCCCTAATTTGAAAGCCAAAACTGTGAATACAAAAAATGTGTCAAGTTAAATTCCATTGATAGCCAAACAATCCGCAAACTAAGGCATTATTCACCAAACACACACAATGGTTATTATCTTGTTTCAAAAGCCTCCCATTCTTTCATTTTCTTCTCTTCTAGTTCCTTCCACCAACCCTGCAAACAAATTCAGAAACAAAAATGGATCCAAGGTGCTATACTCAAACGCCTCTCATCATCTTATTCTTCTTCATTTTCGGCTTTAACTCCGCGCACGCTGTATGCAAGCCCCGGGATTTGAAACTGAGGTACCTAACTATTCCCTCTCCATCACCAAGTTCTCCTAACTCGCAGGCTTCCGTGCCTCCTAGTAAGCCACATCCGGGTCAAGTCTTCCCTTCGTCGCGGCCAGCAGGCCCTCCACCAACCCGTAGTCCTACTCCGGCCCCAACTCCCTCCCCAAACCCTCCTTCACAGGCTCCACAAGCATCACCCCCTGCTGGCAATTCAATTTCTCCATCTTCCTCCTCATCCTTTCTTCGCCGTTCTTCTGACAGCCCACGCGGAAACCTCTTTGCGCAGCCTTTTGTTCTCAACACGGCCTCATCATCAACCCCACCTAACCCGGCGATCCAAGAACTATGCAAAAACACCGACTACCCTGATCTTTGCATCTTATCCCTGACACCTTTCCAACCACCCAAGGTTGACCCCGTATCCGCTCTTGGGATGACAATCAAGGCTTGCACCGCACACGCCCAGATGTCTCTAGCCGCAGCCTCAAAACTTGTGACGATGCCTAACACTGCACGTGGAACGATTGCTGCGCTCAGTGATTGCAAGGACTTGTACTCTGATGCCTTGGACGGCCTTCAGAGCGCCATTGATGCAATCCAGAGCCGCGACATTGGCACGATTAATAGCATGCTTAGCGGGGTGGTGACCGATGCTGTGACGTGTGGGGATGGGTTTGAAGGAGAGCAATCTCCGCTGGGTGATTACGATGACAAACTTCGTAAAATGGCCAGCAATTGCCTTGCCATTGCTTCCTTGATTAAGTGATGATCAATTGATCATGATCTCTCTCTCTCTCTCTCTCTATATATATATATATATATCTCTTCAGTTCCTTCCAATTTGTTTTGTGCTGTTTCTTGTTGTACAAGAAAAACATTACATAGCTAGCAAATTGATAAGAGTAGAGATGTAGGAGTATATAAATTAAAGCTTACATTTTTGTACCGTAGCATGTATTATTTGTCTTTATTTTTTGAGAAGCATTACACCTAGCCTATAGGATTTACTTGTATATATGCTATTATGCAAATTCACTTTAATCTGTATCACATTCGTTTGGGGGTAGGGATTTGAAACTCGAAAGAATGTGTTTGAATAGGGGATCTCAAACCAAAGGATTTGGAGTATTTAAATTTTGTGGTTGATGTTTCATGAGATTTTAATAATATTAATTAGTTCATTGAATCCACATATATTTGATTATTTAAGGATATAAATTTTGAAGAAAACTATTTTTAGCACTCTTAAAAAGGTCTATTACGTTTGTACACCTCTCTTATTAGAAAAGTAGGGAGTGATGTTCGTAGAGCAAGTGAAAAAAGGGAGAGTTGTACTTCGAGAAGGAGGTGGATTGTGTGCCCTCCCATTTCCATACTCTGTCCATGCCTTTCTGTTTGTGTGATTATGGTTAAGCCATGTCAACATTTTATATTCCGATTACTTTGTATCTACGTCTTCTTCTTTTTTTGTTGATATTCGATAATAAGGGAGGAGGAATTGTATGAAAGATTTGGGATGCTCACATAAGAATATTTAACCATTTGAGTTATAAGCTCCTTACAAGAAATATTAATGTTATAAACATGAACAAAAATCGTCCTTTTGAAAATAGACAATTGAGACACAAAATTTAAAAAAAAAATTATTTACGGGAAAACAACTTCATGAACAAGGCTAAATATAATATAAAAAAAAATGGAAACAGCTAGTCTGTAGCTTTGATTCGAGAAATATTCAAAACTAGTATTAACTATGGAAAATTGGATTCTAAGTTGAACGCACAAGACACGCATGAGTTAACTAACTTACATATGTCGAAATTTACAAAAACTAGTACGTTTTTCTGTGTCTAATCAAGGTAAGCAAAGCTTCGGCTCTGAACCGTTAAGGTCAATATCTTGCACAACATCAACGTTGAAGAAGAATTATCATTTAGTATTATGGTTTAATGATATTTTTTTTACTAAAAAATAAATAATTTTAAGTTTAAATTTTGTAAATAACGAGTTTGTCACTAATTCATACCCCACCCCATTTTGTGTGTGTGTGTGTGTATATATATATATATGCCGTATAAAAATTTTTAAAAAATTCATGCCCCACCTCATGTATTGAGCTTGACCGCTTGAGCCATATTCCCAAGCCTACGACTGGTTTCGTACACAAATTTAAAAGAAGGCGCTACCCCATATATTTTTTCGTTCCTTCTTACGCATGTTCCGTTAATTTTTATGTTTTGATTTTGTTTATTTTATTTGATCTGATAATTAAAAATTTAAAATATTACATTTTTATGTTTTGATTTTTTAATTTTAATACGATGATTAAAAATTAAAAGAATCTATAAAATATAAAAAAAAAGGGTGCGGACAAAAATCTAATAAAAAACAACTGCATAAAAAGCTGTGCTAGTAAATGAAGAAGAAAAAAATTCAAAAAAAAAAATTTAACGGAAAGTTTTCAGTATTGTTTATTTTAACAAAAATTATATTTTTATACTAAAATTTTAATCTTGGTACAATTTGTTTTATCCTTATCATTAAAATTTAAATCTTTCAAACCATTTTTGTTAGCTTTTCTAAAAAAGGAAAAGGAAAGAAAAATAATCCACTTTCATGCTTTACCAAATCAAGACCATTCTCAAAATGCCATAATCCCACTACTCTTTCACTCTCACTCTCACTCATTGCATTTACTTCTCCAACCTTTCGTTTCCATTTCCCCCCGTTAGGGTTAGGGTTAGGTTTAGGGTTTCTCCTGGCTCTTCCATCACTGTGCTTCCGCCTGCTCCCTGACTTCTTCAAGGTAAGTATATGCTTTTGACTTCGCTTTTTTAATGTCCAGTTTCCGCATTTTTCTTTTCTTTTATTTTCTTGTTCTTTGTTTGTTTCCACGGAAAATCTGAAATACCAACTCAGGATTCAAGAAAAGAAGCCAAAATGTTGGGAGGCACTTTCTTGTTTTTTCTTTTGTTAGTTTTATGGTGAATTAGAGTACTGGACGTTAGTGGGGCCCTAATTTTCTGTTTGGTTGCTCAGAAAATAGGAAATAGATGAAAGGAGGAAAATGTACTCCAACTGGTTTGTTCTTACAGTTAATGTTGTCTCCAAAAACTTAAAAAATCCATAGGGAGACCAAGGCAATGAAAATCTTTAAGCTTCAGTTTGGACCGTTTGGTGCTGTTTTTCTATTTCTGGTATACTAATCAGTATCACTGGTGTATTCATCCGTTTGGGAGTGCTTCTGTAGGGCTCATAAGCGTTTTTGGTAGAAGTGATTTTATTAGAAATACATTAAATTTATAAAAAAAATCGAGAGCCTCGTGATTAAGCACGTGGAAAAAGCGCTTCAATGACCTAGAAGCACGTTTAAGTTTTTATGACAAACATAGTCCAACACTTTTAGTCCTCTAAGAAGCAGTCCCAGACATGCCCTAGGGGATTTGGTTTCTTTCATACAACTTGCTGGCGCTATTAGATTCATAAGCTCATCGTGATTTAGTTCTTACTGAGGGACTTGGTATTATAATCTTCAGGTTCACTGTGGGGTCTGTAAAATAATGAAATTGTGTTGATCTTCCACCCCTTGTTTTCTGAATGTTAGGTATCATAAAAAGAACTGCAACTGTTTCGGCATAGATGGAAAGCTTCGGTGGTGCTGGGTTTTCGCCTGGAGGTTGCATTGTCAGGAAGAAGAGGAGTATCGTATCACATAAACCTCGGTTAAATCCACCGATATTTTCACTCAGCTATAATATCCCTATTGGCAAAGGAACCATTGATGGGAATCAGAATAATAAGAAGAAAATAGTGCATCCTGATGGATTGGGAAGTAAGAACAACCCGAAGAAGTTAAAGCTTAAGTTTGGAGGTGTTACTCGTACACTCAACAGCAAGTATATAGCAGATGTTGGCAATGGTGGTGGCTCGTCTACTGCTAAATCTTCAAGCTCTTTAGATGCCTTCACACCCCAACTGAATCCCCTTGCTCAGGTACCTCACCCTGATTCTCGTTACTATTGCAATTGTTGTCTCATTTTGTACGACCTGTACGGTGGAATTTATTTGTCACCCTGTATGATTTTTCCAATGATTATTCTTTTAATTCTGTGTAATCACAACTGTAATGACCAGGAAATCTTTGAAAAGTTTCTAGTTCAGTGGTTGCTATTTGGTTTCAAAAGTTACCCCCATTTTTATGGAAAGATTTGTTTGATTTGTTCATGATTACATTATAACAATACCGTGTATCATAACATTATTGATGCAGGATGATGCAGGTGGAGGTGGGGTCAATGAGCCAGTTCGGAAAAGCAAGCGGGCTCCTAAGAGAAGCGCCTTGGATGCTGGATTTAATGAAGATGACGATGAAGATGAAGAAATCCGATTCCTTGGAAGACTAAGTGCATCTAAGGTTGCTCGTTCAGAGAGAATTCAAATGGACGTTCGCTTTCATGGAGATGATAGCGGAGGGTATAAACCAGCAAGGCTAGGAGCAGCTAGTAAAAATAGGTCAAGATCAGAAAAAATGCACGAGGATAAAGACTATTTGGGAGAAGACGATGAAGAAGAATTAACATCTAATGATGAACCTGAACCAAATGGGAAGAAGCTGAAAACAGGATCTCTTAGTCTACTTCTAGAAGGGCGGAAAGAATCAACCCTCACCACACGTAACCGGGCCTTCCAGCCTGGAAAAGATATTTTACCTGGTTCAGGTTTTCTTGACATTGCAAGTGATTTGCTTTCTGTCCCATCTAAAAGTGCGCTTATTCTTTCCGTGTCTGTTGCATAATTTTGATTATATTCATATGCACACCCGTACTGAACTTGTTTTCAGTTTTTCTGTTGGCTGGTTGACCACAGGCAAGAAGGATAAAATGTCTGAAGTGGAACGGCAATTAAAGAAAGCTGAGGCTGCACAGAGACGGAAAGTGAAGTTAGAGAATGCAGCTAGGGAAGCTGAGGTTTGGCCTTTATATCACGCTTTATAATATTAACTCAGGTGGCAAATGTAGAAACAGTCTCACCTCTAATTTTTAGGCTGGGGCAATCAGAAGAATACTGGGTCAAGATTCCAAGAAGAAGAAGGAAGAAAAACTGAAGCAGCAAAGGGACGAATTGAATAAGGTCTTTGAGAGATTATTAAACATTTTTCAGTCTTCTTCCTTTTTCTCGTGGCCCTTCGCATTTATTCTCATGCAGTATTAACTATAATATTATGCAGGGGAGGACCGGCTGTCCTGTCACACTGGCACCAAACACTGTCCGATGGGTCGTCGGTCCTAATGGAACCACCGTTACATTTTCTGATGATATTGGTCTGCCTAGTATTTTCAGTCCAGTGCCTTGCAGGTACAGCATTTGCTTTCTTCTTTACCAGCCCCAGTTCTCTGTTTTTAATCTTGCGTTTTCTTCTTGAGATTGACAAATTTTATAACTTAGATGGTTTGTTTTATTTAGCTATCCTCCCCCACGCGAAAAATGTGCGGGTCCAAATTGCACGAATGCATACAAGTATCGGGATTCCAAGTCGAAGCTTCCCCTGTGCAGTCTCCAGTGTTACAGGGCAATACACGAAAAGATGCAGCCTCTAATTACTTGCTGATACCATCTCCTCCTGCACATCATCTTGAACCAACTAATATGTTCGATATAGGTTGCTAGAAGCTGGACAACGGATGACTCATCATTTCGAAGTCATGCACCCTGAAACCGGTCATGGAATGGCGTAGTGGCATCGTCACTTTCCAATTTATTTTCTGATCACTAATGTTGTTAGAATAGGAAATTATGCTGCAAGTATAACTAAGTAGAATAGTTAGTTATATGAAAGAACAGATGCTTCGGTGCTACGATGAGAGATCACATTGTTCGATCCCGTGTTTTCCCGTCTCAATCGAAAAGTTTCTGTTCATGGAGAAGATGTCGACTTGGGATGAAATATTTCACTGCCTAATGAGCAGGTTGAATTCAAGATGGAAAAACTTACGGCTTATGCTAATTTTGGCGCGAGGGGAACATGTTTGAATGAGACCATTCTTAGTGCATGGATAATTAATTTAAATTAGAGTAATGACAAGCATCCATTTTTTTCTTCTTCGCATCTTTATTTTTGGCCATCTGATTGAATATCAAACGAAAACAACGCATATGAATAAACTAAAATGCATAAGAGGAGGAAAATAGGTTATCTTTATTTCTAGCCATCTGATTGAATATCAAACGAAAACAACGCATATGAATAAACTAAAATGCATAAGAGGAGGAAAACAGGGGGCCTTTATTCTGGCTATCAAATTGAGAATCAAACCGACAGGGGGTCTTTATTTCTGGCTATCAAATTGAGAATCAAACCGACACATTGATGTACGCACATAACGATTTGTTGACATGGAAAATGTTTCTGGGATGACAAAGCTCACGAATGCAAAACATTTTACGTTTAATTACAACTGTGTACATTTTAGATGATCATAATGGATCACAAACCCTTCAAATATATGTAAAACTTTAAACAGATGTCTTTTAACTACCATGTAAGATATACGCATATTCTGTTACAAAGGCAGCACCAATCGTTACTAAATCTATGATCCGTCCATGAAAACAGCACCGTGTCCGCTGGATTTCATAAACTTCTTAAATAGAAGAACCATGATTGCGATGGTAAGTCCAACAGCAGCCCATGTGAACAAGCGATCGTCAGCTGGTTTGTGTACTTTAACTTCTGGCCTTTGTAGCAGCTGACTTGATCCAGTGGAAGGAGCTTCATTCACCGCCCTCGCTGCTACAGGGGCAGGGTTAGCATTCAGAGGGGCTTCCTGAACTTCTTCGACAATCCTGTCTCCTGTTGTTGGATTTGCAGGCCCTTCCCCAGCAGTTTCCTCAGCGGGTGTGGATCCAGCGCTTGCGGAACTCTCCTGAACATTGCTTTCCTTGTTTGAAGGATGCTCTTCCGAAGCCTGGGAGGGGCTCAGTTGAGGAACAGGGGGTGCCTTGCTCAGCATATATTCATGAATCTGTGAAATTAATATTACCCATTAGCAAGTTTCTGTCATGAGATCTTCAATTGTGTAATTGCAACGAAACTTTCAGCAGATATTTTACCTCGTCCATTAACTTCTGGCGTTCATCAGTGCCATATCTTGGGGCTGCTGCACGAGATTTGATAGCCAGGGCACGCCTTTCTTCCTTCTTATATTCCAGTGAACCTAACGCACCATTTGGATTGGTAGGCATGAATGCAATAAGTGCAACTAAAGCAGTCCGCACTGCCAACAGACACAGTACATTAGCAAGATGAGCATAAAATGTCAATCACCGACGAATCAACTCAAATTTCAGTTGTGTTTCACATCACATCAGCACACAGACTGTTCTCAATACCGGTTAAAATGTCAATAATTGAATAGACACACATGAAGAATACAAATGGGAAAAGTCCAAAACACGGAACCCCATAGTGATATGGTCATCGGACTAAGCAAGTCCAGTTCTAACTCCATTTCAAGCCAACCATGATTTAGTGGCGTATCTATACAATGTTACGAGTTTGGGTGTGCAATTGGTCTAAGCAATTGGATGCTGCTTAGAAAAAGCATATTGGAACATTTTATAGCTCTTTGAGACATTTTCTCTGCATAACTATACACTAGCACACACAATCTAAGAAAGAGTGGAATTTACCGCTCCATGATGGCTGCCAGTGCTCGGGATGATGATTTGATATGCTCAAGCAAATCTTGGTTTGGGTTTCGAAGCGACCATTTGGCTGCAAGTGAAGTAAACAAGTCAACACATCATGACAGAAAATACTAATCCAACCAGCAAACTAGCCCATTAACCTCAAAAATGCACAACACATTACCGTCAGCAACATGAATGAAGGGGGTTTGAACGGGTACTCTGCCGGCAACTGAATCCGCCCGTGGTAAATTCCACCTTCGAATTCTGTGTCACTAGGACCTCTGATTGCAAATTGCCAGTCAAATATGTTCTCCTGCAAACAAACGCTAATCAGCTAAATAGCATCTAGTCCTAACAATATCCCCAATTTCAAAATATCCCTAAAATTGCAAACCAAATGAAATTTAGAAAGAGAAAAAAGGAAACAAAAATCAAAATTCAGCTCGAGCCCCCAATATTTAAATTCAATTAAAATCAAAATTCGGGTATCAAATTCAAATCTCACCAACAAAGTGAATTAAACAGAAAAAACTACAAGATCAATAATCTGAATTTGCAAAATCATCGGGAAAAGTAAGAAACCTCGAGGGGGAGGCTCATGAAATCATCGGAGGGTTTGGATTGCATCTCCTTAACCTCCTGCAAAATCCGCTTCACCGCCGGGTTCTTCCGGTTGTACTTCTCCTCCGCCATCGCCGTCCGGTTCGATCTGCACCGCTCCGATCCGATCCACCGCCTCCACCGCCACCACCACCACCTCTCCCGGTTGAATTAAATGAACAAATTATATACGGAATACAAAATACGAAGCGGAGAGGAAAGAGAGAACCGGGCGGTGTTTACACGATATTTGTTGGGTCTATGCCACGTCGACTGCTGCACGATTTCTGAGGTGTCAGAATATGATTGGGGGTCGTGGTTGTTAGGTATATTGGGCCTTAATCTTTACTGGGCCTTAATCCATGTCAAAAGCCTGCTTATGAATAGGTCCAGTCTTATTCTCATTTGAGCTCCTAATCCATGTTTAGGTCATTTATCTTCTGAAAAGCAATAGTTTTATTAGAAACTTGGGCAGTTTTGAAGTTTCATACTTTAGAGGCCAATGTAGCAGGCTGGGCTCTGCATTTAGGCCGATTGGTTCGTAATGTTTAATTGTCGCGATTTAATTCGTATAATATATTGATTTTGAAATTTATGGACGATGATTTTATTTGATCAACTTTTTATGAAGCAATTGCGAGGCTTATTCATATGTCACACACGTTTTAATTTTGTAAAAAATTTGATAAAATTAAACTATTGTTTTTTAATAGCAACAATTTGTAAACTAAAATTGAAATTTTCTCCAAATTATAAAGGAAAATTTTATTGATTGCTTACTATAACGTAGGTCTTTAAGTTGCTTGCCGGCCATGGTCAGCAGTTGCACCAGCGACTAATCGTCAGCGCAAATCCGTCGCTGTTGCTCTCATCTCGGACCCGACAAGGCACTGTTGCCAGCCAACGACAGATGAATATACAAACGCTAATCATCCAACTTGTGTCGGATGTCGCTCTCAGAGCCTCCTCAGCTATTTCCGTCAAGAAACACAGCAGCATTTGGTGCAAGCTGCATTGTAAGCTCCCAAATCCCACGCTACCTTAATTACCTCTTTATCTGTTCGCGCGTTTGCTTATATATTCTACGTATTTTTTGTTTGTCTCATTCTTGGCTGAACTTCTTAATATGCATTGTTGGGGAACTTTCTTCAGAATTTGTTTTAATTATTAGGGTTTATACATCAACGAGGCTTAAGTTTGTTTGAATCCTTAACATTTCAGACTTGATACAGATATGATTTATAAATGATGGTTAAGAAAATGAATGATCAATTATGAAATTTTTGCGGTTAAATTACGTTAATCACAAGTGGGTGAACGAGATGTGCTACAGGGGTGGGTGCAATACTGACCTTTGGATATTAGGGTTTATACATCATGAATCTTGAAAATTTGATTTTTTTATATTTTTTTAAGAGATATTGAAGAAAGTTGAGGGTTTCACCATAAAACTAATTAGCAATATGAGGAGTAGCCTAACTTAGTTATAAGCTCATGCAAGGTCCCTAATTTCATCAATATGGGATCCATTTTCAACATATATTCAATGATGATTAAAAAATTGAACGAGGATGAATTTTTTTTCACTTTTAAGTTTTAAAACCTGTCAATAATCACAAATGTTGGACAAGGAGGTGACGTTAGCGTTGATCTTTAAAAATTAGGGTTTATACATCAACGCCTTGTTTGAATCATTGAGAATTATGTATATTAAATTTACATCTGTTGGTTGGACAAATGGCATTCATATATTTGGACTTTGGGATGCAGGCCATATTGATACCATAAAAAACATCAATGTCGTTGTTCTGCCCTTGATTTCCATGAGATATAGGACTCTGTCAAAACTGGGTAGTATTAACTTTATAATGATGCTTTCATAAGTAAGGAACTAGGAATAAGAAACTCAGACGATCTTTAATGTGTTCATGTTTGCAATTAGCAATTAAAAAGTGCTTTTACCAACAAGAATTGAGAGCCTAAATCGTGAGTTTTCGTGATGACGAATGCTATGTTTTCTTTCGGGGATTTCAATTTCGGTGGAGTTCATGATATATTCAGCTCAACTGAGAAAGGTTTTGATGGCATGGAAGCGGAGAACAATATGGCGAAACAAGTGAATTTGTTTGGAGCAGAGGAATGGGGGAAGTTGGGGGAATTTGGTTCCGTTGATTCGGATCATGGATTCCATGGAAATGACTACTCCTCTGGAGGAAACTTGTTTCCCAAGTATCAACAAGAAGAACAGCAGCAGCCACTGATTTCATACTATGGACTGTATGATGCCATGCAGTTTGATCCTCTCTCGATGCCATTCCAAGCGTGCTTAGGGAAGATTGCAAAGCTCGAAGACATCCCAAATTTGGTTCCACATGTTGAACCAAAGAAAGAGAAGCGAGACCCTTTCTCCTCGTTGGCAGGGCTTGATCTCTTGAACAGCTATGGCAGTGGGTTTAAGCGGTTGAATGGAGAAAGAAATTTTGAGTCAAGCAACTACAACGCGTGCACAGATCAGGTGGCTACAGGCAGGAAGCTTTCAACTGAAGAAATCATGAGGGTGGCAGGAGCAAGGTTCATTCAGACTTATTCTCAAGTGTCTGATGTTCCCTCCATGCTGAGCCATCCGTTTGCATCCTCCTTTTCGGGCCTGTCATATGAGGAAGCTAGAGACGTGGAGCTTGTTGAGTTCCTTCTTGCTTCTGCAGAGAAAGTAGGTTATCAGCAGTATGAGCGTGCTGGGAATTTGCTTAAACGTTGTGATTCACGTTCTTCCAGTACCGGGAATCCAGTTGAACGAGTGGTTCACTTTTTTTCTGAAGCTCTCCAGGAGAAGATTGATCGAGAAACTGGAAGAGTCGCACCACAAGTTTTGAGGACCAAGCAGTCATTTGATGTTGATAGGGCAATGAAGATTCCAAATGATACCTACCTGGCATGTCAAATCAAGCTTCCCTTTGGGCAAGTCGTACAACTTGCTGGAATTCAAGCCATTGTGGAAAATGTGGCTGAGGCTAAGAAGGTGCATGTGATTGATCTGGAAATCCGGAATGGGGTGCAGTGGACAGGTCTGATGCAAGCCTTAGCATCACGTTGTGATTGTCTGCTTGAGCTTCTCAAGATAACTGCTGTTGGAACTACTTGTAGAGAATCGGTTGAGGAAACAGGTAAGAGGTTGGGGAGTTTTGCACAAACCATGAACTTACCCTTTTGTTTTAAAATAGTGATGGTAGAAGACATGCTAGATCTCAAAGAAGACATGTTCGAGCTAGATTCTGAAGAAACAGTTGTGGTCTACTCTGAATTCGCGCTGAGGAGCATGGTTCCAAAACCAGATCGACTCGAATCTGCAATGAAGGTGATAAAAAACATCCGTCCATGTTTAACTGTGGTCACTGAAGTTGAGGCAAATCACAACTCGCCAGTCTTTGTAACTCGCTTTATTGACGCCCTTTTCTACTTCGCTGTGTACTTTGACTGCTTGGAAACTTGCATCCAACGAGATGATCCAAACAGAAGTATTTTGGAATCAATGTACTTTGGGACAGGAATTAGAAATATTGTGGCAAATGAAGGAGAGGAAAGGAATATCCGAAATGTGAAAATTGATGTTTGGAGGGCATTTTTTGCGCGGTATGGAATGGAGGAGATAGAATTGAGTTCATCGTCGTTGTACCAAGCAGACCTGATTCTTAAGAATTTTCCGTACGGAAATTCTTGCACGCTCAATATGGATGGGAAATGCCTGCTTCTTGGATGGAAGGGCACACCTCTCCATTCTCTTTCTCTTTGGAAATTTCTTTGATGAAATAAATAAAAAGGAGGTTGCCTGTAGTTTTAAATCTCTGACATCTTATTATCTTCTTGGTTGAGCTTCAAATTCTAGTTTCGGATAATAATCATGGTCAGGAACTGCATAGGTTATTTTCTTTGTTAACCTTGCGCTTGTTCAACCGAAATGGTTGGCGAACACATTTGATGACGATGATGATTGTCCTTTCAATGTATATGTTTCCCATGAGGGATTACAGAATCTACAAACATGGGAGAAAGCACCAGAATTGTACTTTTGTCTCATAAATTCTCATGAGCGAATTTGTTAACATTAAGTCGAATACTATAGTACTCTTTGAAATTTTCCTCTTTGTCCATCGAGATGATGATCGCATTGCTCTAGTTATCATTGAAAGGATGCCCCCGCGAAGAAAACTGAGCTGTTAAGAGAGGCAACTGCTTATGAACACCATAAATATGTACAAGCGCATCCAAACACGTCTCTACAACTATGGATCATAAGTTCATAAGACACTGGATGTATCAATTTATTCCACAACTATCTAAATTCAAATACCTTAAACGTAATACAATCTGTATCGTATAATTAGTAAAATGAATGCCTAGTCTAGTGTGTCACGTAGTGCCGAATGTATATTACTCAAAGATCGGATGTTCTTGATTTTTCATGTGATTTTACAGTTCTTGTATTTCTTCTTTTCTTCCATGAACTCGGTCATTCTGTTTTGCGATGCTTTACGAAAGCCATGCTTCCAGTTTGTACTTTCTTCACTCTAATATTCTGTGGTCTTTTTTTTTTCTTGCTTGTCTTATCCCTAATCCTTATTCCTTTATCCTTTTGGTCATAAAGTGCCGGCTGATGTCCAAATCAAATTTACTCATAGAATATATCAGATCCTTGGTGGTGAAAACTATATCAGCAGAACGAATAATTTGCTTCTTGCTTGGATCATGTCGTCGAGCGCTCACATACTCCTAGCTTTACATGCACAAGCTTCGTACCTAGTGTTTGGATGTATTAGGCTTTTAGGGATCAACATGAATCATTGGAGGGAAACCATAATTTTTTCACTGTACTAATTAGTTTTCTAAACATATGTCCTAATCCGATCGAGTTACTTAACAATTTCAGTTTTCATACAGCTGTTGACAGACTGGCCTTGGAATTTCACAGAAGGCCAAGCTATAGCATATCCTACAAATTTTGTCAAACCATGTAAAGAAGTCATGGCGTAGAAGGTCAGCTTATAAGCAGACACAAACCCACAAGAACATTCGTACACTTTTCGCACTCCGAAAAACAAGAAAAGCTCAGCTTTATTCTTCTCTTGAAACCATGAGTTGTGCCTCTGGATTGTCAACCGTCGAAGTGATGAGAGTTGCAAGGGAACGGTTCATACAGTTCTCTTCCCGGAGACACGCAGATGACTGCATGGCTGACCATGTTCTAGGCAGCACTGCCTTCGGCCTCTCAGACCAAGAAACAAAAGATGTTGGGCTTGCGCATCTTCTTTTAGCTTGTGCTGAGAAGGTTGCAAAGAAACAATACGGCTGCGCAAAAAAGCTGCAGAATCTATGTGATTTCCTGTCTTCCAGTAGTGGAAATTCTGTTCAAAGAGTTGTTTACTATTTTTCCAAAGCTCTCCAACAGAAGACCGACAGAGAAACTGGCAGAAACACATCACAGGGATCGGAAAGTAGAGATGTTGCCGCTATGCATGTTGAGGAAGCAATGGCGGCTTTGAGTCCTGCTTTAATGGCATGTTTCCTTGAAGTTCCCTTCTTTCAAGTTACCGAGTTTGCGGGCATCCAAGCGATAGTGGAAAATGTGGCATCATCCAAAAAGATTCATTTCGTTGACCTTGCCATCAGAACCGGGGGGCACTGCATCGTGTTGATGCAAGCGCTCGCAACAAGATATGAATGCCCAATTGAGATGCTAAAAGTTACTGCTGTTGGAGTAAAATCAAGGAATAAAATTGAGGACACCGGCAGAAGGCTGGCTCAATTTGCTGAGGCATTGAAGTTACCTTTTACCTTCAAGATAGCCATGGTAAAAGATATCAAAGATATCAAAGAAGGTATCTTTGAGTTAGATACTGGTGAAGCAGTTGCAGTTTACTGTCCTCTACTGCTATCCAGTACAATGAACTAACCCAATTGCTTGGAATCTCTGATGAAAGCCCTCAGAAGCCTCAATCCGCGTCTCATGGTGGTCAATGAAGTCGAGGCAAATCACAACTCTCCGATCTTCATAAACCGTTTCTACGAAGCACTCTTCTACTACAGTGCATATTTTGAGTGCCTCGATGCCTGTATGGACAGAGGCAGCACGCTTCGGATGGAGTTGGAGGAAACATATTTGAGTCACGAGATCAAGAACATTGTTGCGAGTGAAGGCGAAGAGAGGGTAAACCGGCGGATGAAAATCGATGGGTGGAGGAGTTTGTTTGGAAAATGTGGAATGGTGGAAGCAGAGCTTAGCTTGTCCTCCTTGTACCAAGCAGACCTTATTGCCAAACAGTTTGCTTGTGGGAGGAGCTGCACAATGGGGACTAATGGGAAGTGCTTTGTTGTTGGATGGAAAGGAACTCCAATTCTCTCACTTTCTGTTTGGAAGTTCCACGCAGTCAATGTTAAGACCTTTAAACATCTCTTGTAAGAGCTATAGCCCTTGTAGAAACGATAATAACGGAAACATATGTTTTATTAGATTTGTTTTCCAAACAAGGTGACATGAAGTCATAATTTTCAGGCCTACCAAATCTTACTCTCTGGTCCCACCCTCCTTTCTTGGTCCTAGTCCGACCATCGAATAGAACAATCTCTTCAAGACATGAGCCAAATTAGCTGAAGGAAAGTGCTTTAATAGGTGTTGCTAAGAGAATTATTGTTGTAATGACACCCGCTACGCGCAACGCCATGACGAAAAATGCTTCTTATATTAACGGAATGTGAGTTTATACCACTAATCGTGTTGATTCTGTTGATTCCTGAATGCTAGTGCTTGTACTTTCATCCTCAGCATTCGCAACGGCACCGTCGATCTTTCCGGCTTCAGACGCTGGCTGGTTAATAAGCCGCCAACTAAAGTAGGTTAATAACGTTTGCTACCGCGCCGTTTAAGGGGTAGTTTTGACTTCGTGAATGACGAGTTTTATAGTAATTGTATCATGCCGCCGCCTTGTGTGGGTGAGTCCAAGTATTTGTGAGAGCATTTGTACCATTAGTGGCGAGTGTGCTGGTAAAAGCTTGCAAGAAATCCGATCACAAAAGCAGTGATATCGAATTGATATTGAGCTGGTTGGCTGCTCTGAATGATGAGATTGAATGAACGGTTGAAGCATCTTCATTTATAACTCGAAAATTGCTGGCTTAGCACTTAGCAATCACTCATTATTTGTTATTTTTAAACGTTGAGTGGTTCTGGTTCACATTAATGTGTTAATTCCTCTTGGTTTAGACTAATGTAAATAAGTGTCTTAAGTAAGAGAGACTACATGAAAGAAGATGACAACAAGTCAGTGTCTCAAACGTGCTGTACATTTTAATTTACATTAGTGATGAATTTTGAATTGAATCAGTTACCATCCATTTTGAATAATTGTTTTTAATTATCTTTTCACATTTGGGTCCACTTTTGTTTATTATGTGGTTATTGTCATGCTACTTCTCAAATGCTTCCACATTTCAACATAAAATAATGCATTATTGACGACTGAGATGTAATGACTGCCAATAAGTCATAGTTTTATAATGTATTCGATAATCTTTGTTTTCTCATGTTCGTTTCTTTCCTCTTTTCCTCTCTCTTACTCTTTCTTTGCACCTTCCCGGCCTATGTTTTTTCTCAAGTCCATACACCAAACATTATCATATTATAAACTTATGTTTTTGTTGACTGAAGCTTGATTTGTTTAGGTATTTCAATATCATCTGTTAGGCAACACAACCACTGCTATATTTTCAGCCATGATCAATTTACTCCATATATTCATATACACGAAAGTTCGAATTTTTTTTGTGATTTTGAAAATTTTAACTTAGATAAATCCCTCACTCTCCATCTTTTCTTCTCTCCATTCCCCGTTCATTTTCGTCCTTAGCACAGTGGAATGCTGCCCACGCGTCAATAATCGTGACTTCCTCTCTACTTTTAATTATGTTGAATAAATACGAAGATTTCAAAAGTTCAAAACTTTGAATTAAGCAATAATAAACCCTTGCGTATTAATGAAATTATTGTATTATAAGATTATAAATCGCAAGTGGTGAATTGCCCTGTAGTCTTCCTCTTTAATTTTAGTGTAGCTTACAGACTTATTAGTAGTAGCATCTCATAACCAAGAAGAAAAAAAAATCACAAATGATTCTTCATAATCTATGTCTATAAAACCCTTATTCATAACTTGTACAATAATATATTCAAGAAAAATGCTAAGGAGATTTTCTCAAAAGTGTGACTCTTCATGAACTCTCTGTCATCTTATGTTTTTTTTTCACAATATTTTATATGGAACTTTCATGAAAAGGGCTTGGCCTAAGTCTATTTTAACAAAAAACCGTGCTATAATTTTATTTAATGAAAAATCCTTAAACTTTAATAAAAATAACAAAAAAAAAAACTTAAATTTAATGAAAAAAACATAATTTTAATATTAAAAAAACCCGGGTCATACTTGAGTATCACATTGTAGACCCCCCACCCCCAACCCTATCTTCCTTATCAGTGAACCGAAAATAGTTTGACGTGCAGGACGCATGCGTAGTCATAGATACTGTTTATAAAATTTACTACACTATTTATGAAACTTAACGGTACTACAGTGTTTAATGAGATTTACTACACTATTTATGAAACTTACTACACTGTTTATAAAACTTAATGGTACTACATTGTTTATAAAACTTACTATATTGTTTATGAAACTTAAAGGTACTACATTATTTGTGAAACTTAACGGTACTACACTGTTTATGAAACTTAACGAACGTTGGGCACACATGTTTATATTTTTATTGTTTTTTTTTCTTTTTGTCCTTATCATTAAATAAAGTTATTAGATGGTTTTTGGTTAAAATGTAAAGTTTTGAAAACCTTTTCATTAATTTTCCTTAATTTTTTTATAATATGTTGGAACGGAAATGAACGTTATACTGTGGGATAATGTTAACGGGAGCAAATCAAATTTGCAAACCAAATGATGTGTCACCAATTGAAAATAAACACGTTATCAAAACTAATAATTCAATCATCAACAACCACCTTATTTGGTTTACAAAATTTGGTAAAAATTTGGTCTTCATAGCATTACCCTAAACTTTGAGAGAGTAAAGAGTCCATGGAGAGTTCTACTTTGAGAGAGTTTTCTTAGTCTTTCTCTATTTTCAAAGGGATAATGCTAAGAAGACTAAATTTGTAGGCAAATTTTTGAAAACTAAAGGACATGAAATGATTGGTTTATTATTTAAACGTTGATAAACGTGTTTATTCCTATTAATGACACATCATTAGTTTGCAAATTTGATTTTCCTAGCATTACTCTTTTTAAAGCAATTAATTAGTTTATAGTAGAATTTATATTTTTTTAAAGTTGAAAGAGACCCACAATTCGAATCACCCGTTAAACAATAAGTGTATCTAAAACATCCTTCGTTCATAGTAAAGCATCCTATATATACCTTGGAATGAAACGAATACATTTGCAAATACTATGGAAAGTCAAATTCGGTTTAAGCCAAAAGGAGAAAAACAAAAAGAAAAATGGATTAAAAAATTAATCATGGTACTATTCATTTTACCCTTTATTTTATTATTTTCGTTAAAACTCAAAATTTCAACCCATTTTCATTAGTTTTTTTTTTTTTAAATTAATTGGTAATATGAAGAGTAACTAAATTTGTTTATAAACTCATACAAGGTCTATCCTCTCATAAATGTGGGATTCACCTCAACATGAAAGACTCGAAATTCTGTCAACATTCTTAGTGCGCGAAAACAACATGAATTGACTGATAACAAGAACCGAAAGCTAATCATCCGCTGCATTCAGAATTCGATTCTTTATATACGAAGGACGGTGATCAGTCAAATCGTATTCGCTTCTTGAAGCTTTACTGAGATTTCTTTCTCCCTTACTTCGACTATACAAGGACAGAAGTTCATCGCAAAGATGTAAGCAAAGAAAGAAAAATGGACACAGCAGGCACGTTATTTCTAAGGCCTCGCAATAATCACAAGCAAGTTGGTTCGGAAGAACGTACAGCGATGCACATTGAGCACAATCTGCTGTGATTAATTTGACGAAGAAGCAGTAGAACATATAAGTAAACAAATGGGGGACACACAACCAAAGGTAAGATGGAGTTTTTTATTATATACTAATGAAGGAGCATATATAATATGTTTTTCATATACTCTATCAGATACAATGTGCGATAAAATAAGTGCATTTAAATTAGAAAGAGTTGGGTTAGGCATCCTTGGACAAAGAAAAGGTCTTTATATAAACAAAAACGAAGAACTACTTTATAATTGGACAAAGAAAGAAGAAGATAAGAAGAAACAAGGAAAATGCCTCAAAAATTTGGCAAAGACATTTTCAACAAGTGAAAGAAAAACAAGGCATTTCCAAACAGAAAGTTATAACCAATATGCAGTGAAAAGAAAATAATGCCTGAGCAAGGGGTAAAAAATCATGGACCTGAGCAGCGATGTAGAATTCATTCGAATGCAATATTTTCCTTTCAAATGAAAACCTGTAGAAAAATAAAAAACCAAATGAAAGGGCATGGTAGAAAAATTGAGGGGGAAAATAGATTAAGAAAAAGTAATTAAAAAAAAAAAAAAAAAAGAGGGCGAATGATGTTGTCCAATGTACTGAATTTCTCTTAAGTATAAAGACGGTTGTATATACTTCTTGACCAAATGAGATAACATCAAATTCGAATGAACTAATAGGGGGATTAATCATAACTTGGGCATTCATAGTTGTCATTCTAAACTTGATGCCATACTGTAAAGTAACAGTTTATTTCCATTGGATAATTTGATTTCCCAAATTCAAATAAATAAATAAAAATAAATTAAAGAATACTAAACATTATTACACATCATTACAACATCCCGTCAGTCAAGAATCAAATCCAAAAGTAGAATTGGGTAAACAAATGAGAACCCAAAAGAAAATAGTCAGCCTAACTAAGAGGAAAATGATCGAACAAAAAAAAAAAAAAAAAAAAAGAGAATCAAAAAGAAATTGCAGAAAAAAATTCTTAGGATAAAGAAACCCACTCGGCCATTCAGTAGAAAAATTATGAAGCATTGATTCAAAGATGCATCCGTTAAGGTCATACAATGTCCTAGAAGATGAACTGAAGAACCAAATTGTCTTATAGCATGCTTCTCAATTGTTTTAAAAATGGATTGGATTTCTATATTTTAGCAATTGGCACTTTAAGATAAGACAATTGTATTTAAAAATAAATGATCAGATACACACTTACCGTGTGAAGATGGCTGGAACTTTTGCTAAACACTCATATTGGTAAAAAAATTAAAACAAAATACTTGTACATGTTATTTCTTCGTTGCTTCATTGTAGGTGAGAATATTATGAGATCAGTAGATGACATAATTAAAGGAACCCAATTCAACGCTTAAACCTAGCTTATCATTGCATTGAAATGACAAAGAAAATGCATATTATATCCATGCTTTCAGCCATTCATTAGATAGATGTGTTTGAATGTCATTGATGCCAATGATAGACTTCATTACTCTGCACATACAAATTGTTCAAAAAAAAATTAAAGCATCTAAGTGCATTAAAAGAAGATATATCTATATCTAAAGAGGAAGGCTTATCATGAGCTTCAAGAATATGTAAAAGAAAGGTAAGTATATGAATTCTCAAAATAAAATTGAAATCGAAATTCTTATATCTTTAAAAATTTAAGACAAATTAAAATTAGGTTATAAATTGAAAATATATTAAGAGGAACTCTTCAAAGTATGACTTCTGCTGCAATATTTTGATATAAAACAAAACCCCCATAATTAGATTTATTAGGGTTTTTTTTTTACATATTTTCATGTACTTCAAAAGACATACTAAACGGATATATCACATTTAAGTTAAAGTATGCTAATTACGAAAATAATTTAAATGGCTCCTCAAATTATCATTGTTTACATAAAGAAACTAATGCTATATCCTCTGTTTATACACTATATGTATCTTTGATTATAAAACCAATAGAACTTTTTACTATTGATCTTAGTATTAATAGAGCAGATAAGAGCTAATGAAATAGAGCTAAGCTACTTCACCTCTTCCATAAGTCCACGTCTCCACCCAAGCCTAGACATCCTGACATTGCCCAGATAGGTGTGCCTTCCTGACCTGCAAGATTTACACATAATTGGAAAATTGAAAGAGGTTTAAGTATGAACAGATTGTAAAACGAAAAACTTTATAGCACTAAATTGGGTTGCAAGCAAGCACCAACCATCATTAATAAAAAGCGGGTACACAAAATTGGCAAGAGATAAAGTTATTTCATGAAACGCAGCTCTGAGCGATGTCGATCTTCGGTTTCGGCAAGGAAATGTTACATGATCTCAAATCACCTTCAATTGGTAATTATGTAAAGAAACAGTTACGCGAAAATTCACATATATATATTTTTTTTTTTTTGAACCTAATCTACCAATTCAGTGCAACAAAAGAAAGAGATGAGTTGGGAAAAGCATACCTTCACAAAGCAAAAAACTTTTGATATTCCACAACTTTCTTCTTCTTCTTCCTTCTGAGTATCTTCTGATTCAGGGATGGTAGTGTTGCAGCACTCATCGAGCATGCCTATTTCAGTAACCCCAAATTAGTTTAATTTTTTTAATGTTCAAATACAAAATTGGGCATAATAAAAAATGAACCAAAAGTCTTAATTGCCTACCCAAGTGAGAGAGGATTTTGGAAAACAGCGCGAGGCGGCTGCGATGTCCGGACCTAGCCTGAAATTAGTTAATTACCCAGATGAAAAAAGAAATAAAGAGTGAATTAGAAGATTTATCAAACAGCTTACCTCTGCAGTTGTTGCCAAATTGAACAAATCAAGCTTCTATAGCAGTCTACAGATCACAAAGCTGAGAGATGAGGTCTGCTTGAACTGGTTGTAGCGATGATTGAGACTGGAAAGGGATGTGAAAATCATTTCATTCATTTTCCACTGCATTTTCCCTGTATTCCATCACCAAAATGTTCTTTTTTATTGATTTCTAAAATTTTAAAAATAAAAATAAAAATATTCAAAAATAAAAGTAAACTTCAACGGAAATGTATAGATTATCTTCAATCATTTGTAACCATATAGAGGTATTGAAGGAATGATACACATGAAAGCTCATATGCATTCTATAAACAACATAAATTCACTTGGAATTTACTGTTAAGCCAAGCTACTAAGAAATTGGAACTTATTTTATAAAATAATTAATCTTTTTTCAGGTTGAAGCAGCTCCAATCCTGGGGTTGGTGACCTCGAGCATTGTGGCAACTCTTCTGTTCTCATCATACAAAAAGGGCTCCTTTTTATAAAGAGATTATCATCAATGCATTGCTGCTCAACACCTAAATCATCAAATGTGAGACAAAACAAATTCTAATGTTTAAAAGGAATTCCACGAAATAAATAATGTCCTTATCAAATCTTTAATTTATTACTACAAAACCCAAAAATTTAAAAAGTTTTAAAAACCTTACATGACCATTCATCAGCAAGGTCAGGGCAGCAAAACCCAACAAACCCAAAATATTCGAATAAATCCCACAGGAAAAAAAATCCATTTGAATTGAGAAACCTCAGTGAAGATAGTTGAGGAAGCCACGTCAATCTCAAGAAGCAGAGAAAATTAGGGATTTTTTCCGGACTCCAAATCATCCCTAGACACCGTTACTCTTTAAAAAAAAAAAACCAAATTAGGGATTTTTTTCAGTGAAGAAAAAGAGAAGATTAAAAGAACGATCATTTAATGTATACACGCATTAAAGATGTAATGCTCTGATAAAAGATTACGTAAGAAGAATGATCCTTTAACGTTATGCTTACTGCTCGTGGAAAATCTCCTTAAGAATTCTGCCACCAACTTTGAACTTGCAAAGGAGCTATCTTGAATTACCGGTGACGAAGAATCATACTCTACAACGAAAACAAATTAAGGAATCTAAAGATGGATGAAAAACCTCGTACCTGATCCATTACCACTACTTTTTCCATAAGAAAGATTTCGACCAACCTTCTAGGTATAAAATTTTTCCTCGAATTGAGACCAAATTCATTTAATGGTTCGCAGTTTTTTAGAGAGATTGTGTTGTGGTTCATGTGACATCCCACATAACCCAGGGGAGTGATCCTTATATGTATATTCTCATCCCTACCTAGCACGAGGCCTTTAGGGAGCTCACTGGCTTCGGGTTCCGTAGGAACTCCAAAGTTAAGCGAGAAGGGGGCTAGAGCACTCCCATGATGGGTGACCCACTGGGAAGTAGCTCATGAGTTTCCAAAAACAAAACCGTGAGGGAATGGTAAGTCCTAAGCGGACAATATCGTGCTACGGTGGTGGAGCGGGCCCGGGAAATGATCCGCCCCGGGTCGGGATGTGACAATTTGGTATCAGAGCCTAACCCTGGCCATGGCGTGCCGACGAGGACATCGGGCCCCTAAGGGGGGTGGATTGTGACATCCCACATCACCCAGGAGAGTGATCCTTATATGTATATTCTCATCCCTACCTAGCACGAGGCCTTTAGGGAGCTCACTGGCTTTGGGTTCCGTAGGAACTCCGAAATTAAGCGAGAAGGGGGCTAAAGCACTCCCATGATGGGTGACCCACTGGGAAGTTACTCATGAGTTCCCAAAAACAAAACCGTGAGGGAATGGTAAGCCCAAAGCGGACAATATCGTGCTACAGTGGTGGAGCGGGCTCGGGAAATGATCCGCCCCGGATCGGGATGTGACAATTTGACTCACACGAGAACTTCCCGATGGGTCACCCATTCTGGGAATGCTCTCGCGCGCTACTCGCTTAACTTCGGAGTTCCTACGGAACCCGAAGCCAGTGACCTCCTTAAAGGCCTCGTGCTAGTTAGGGATGAGAATATACATATAAAGATCACTCCCCTGGGTGATGTGGGATGTCACAGTTCATGCATTTTGAGAGGGGATGTTCTGGTTCTAGGGTTGTGAGACAGAGAGAAATGAAAAGATTCTAGAAGTAAATGGAACAACCTCGTAAAAATTGCCACGATCATATCTCTTATGACATGGCAGCACCAAAACCCAATAGGCAGCTAAGGGCATATTTGTAAATTCACCCATTCAATACCAAAAGCAAGGTAGAAAAACGGAAGGGATATTTTGTCAGTGGCAGAAACAAAATAAACAAAATCAAGAAGGGACCAAATTGGAAGAACACTGAAGAATGAACAGTGATTTGAGTCTAAAAGGACACAATGGAAATTAAATCAAATGTTACTTTTTTGTTATAAATAGGTAAAAGTTAGAGAGATAACCTTTAATAGTGACAGGAGCGAAGTAAGTGTAAAATACCACACTATAACTATAACACAAGGGGATGACTAATAAAAGAAGGACGGATAGATACTGATGTTATTTATCCTTCCTTTTCTCTGTATTTTGATAGTACATGGAACATTCTATTTATAGAGCAACTCCATCACACACCTTTTAAAAATACGATCTCCTTCATTTCCAAAGTCCACATTATTGTTGGTATTGAAAATTTGTGTAGGCATTCATTAATTTGCCAAATATTTTCAACACTGCCAATGTTTTCAACCTCCCATTCAGATGCCCACATATTAACATCAGTTGCCTCGTTAAAACCTTGTTTGGAAAAAATCTAGTGGGAAAAAACCATAGCGGAGGAAAAAGAGTACAATTTTATCTGGATTGTTGATATAGTGTTAATTATGCTTATGTTGCATCGTTAAAACCTTGATAGGAAAAACCCAGTGGGAAAAATCCTAATAAAAGGAAAAAAAGTACAACATACATGTATCATAGATGCTCCCCCTGATATGTATCTTCTCCTAATTCTGCATTTTTCAAATTTATCTGATTGGTAAGTCGATGTAATCCGATACTTTGCACTAACTTCTAAAACATGTACTTTGGTAGAGACTTGGTTAATAGGTCTGCCAGATTTTCATTGGAACAGATTTGTCTGACTTCAATAACTTTAGCCTTCTGAAACTCATGTATACTGAAAACTTTGGAGATATGTGTTTGGTCTTATCGCCCTGGATGAATCCTTCATTCATTTGCGTAACATAGGCTACATTATCTTTATGGATGATAGTTGGATTATCTGTCTTCGGAGTTAGATCGCATGAATTCCAAATATGATGGATCGTTGATCTTAACCAAGAACACTCACGATTTGCTTCATGTAAAACAAGTATTTCTGAGTGATTTGAAGATGTAGCAACTAATGTTTGCTTCGTTGAGAGCCATGAGATTGTTGTATCTCCATTCTTGAACACATATCCAGTTTGTGAGTGAGATTTATGCAGATTAGAAAGAAAACCAACATCTGCATATCCAACAAGGACTTGGTCATTTGTGGATTTCTTTGTGTAGAAGAGACCCATGTTTGTTGTTCCACGAAGGTGTCGCAATATATCTTTGATTCCCTTCCAATGACGAATTGTTGGAGCAGAGCTATACCTTGCTAACAAGTTTAGTGAAAAAAGCTATATCTGGTCTATTATATTGTGCTAAATACAATAAAACACCTATTGCACTCAGATATGGTACTTCTGGACCAATGACCACTTCATCATCTTCTTTTGGACGGAATGAATCTTTCTTAATGTCTAGAGAACGAACGACCATCGGCGTGTTGAGTGGATAAGCTGATTGGTGGACCAAAATTCCATTAACACAATGCTCGATCCGCAGGCCGAGACAATATTTTGTTTTTCCAAAGTCTTTCATTTCAAATTCGCTTTTCAGATATTCAGCAGTTTTATTGAGCTTTTTAGGAGTTCCAACTAGGTTTATATCGTCGACATATACTGCCATTATAGCAAATTCAGAGTTGGATTTCTTAATAAACACATAAGGGCAAATGACATTAATGATATACCCTTCTTTGATCAAATACTCACTGAGACGATTATACCATATTCGTCCAGATTGTTTCAGCCCATAATGATCGCTTTAATTTGATTGAGAGCATACCTCGTGGTTTGTTAGTTGTTTTAGGCAACTTAAGTCATTTTGGGACTTTCATATATATGTCAGTATCTAATTCTCCATATAGATACACGGTGATGACATCCAAAAGTCACATGTCAAGTTTTTCTGAAACCATTAAACTTATTAAGTAACGGAACGTAATTGCGTCCATTACAGGAGAATATGTTTCCTCATAATCAATTCCAGGTCTTTGAGAAAAGCCTTGTGCAACGAGTCGTGTTTTATATCTTGCAATCTCGTTTTTCTCATTTCGTTTTCTTATGAATACCCATTTGTAACCCACGGGGTTTATATCAGGCCGGGTTTAGACTACTAGTTCAAAAACATTTCGCCTTTTTAAGGAATTTAATTCTGCATGGATTGTATCTTTCCACTTAGGCCAATCGTGCCTCTGTTTGCATTCATCGATAGAGCGAGGCTCAATATCATTACTTAATATGATTTTGGTGGTTACTGCGAATACGAACATGTCGTTGATGATTATTTCATTATGATCCCACAATTCATTAGTACAAGCATAATTTATAGAGATTTTTTTGCTTTCATGTACATCTGTTTCTTCAGATATATGTGTCTCATCAATGACATTTTTTTTTTCTGAAAGTATAGTAGAATCATGAATTGTGGAGGTATGTAGTGTTAGAACTTATGGTTCTTACAAATTTTTCATTTTGATCTTCAGGCCAAAATGATAAGCACTCGAAACTTCAAGTTTGAGATTTTTAAGATGAATGAGGATGGTGATTGTACCACATCATTCTCATTGAAATAACATAACATAGGATATATGTGTCTCAAATATATCTTCAAGCCAAATTTTTCATGTACATCTGTTTCTTCAAATATATGTGTCTCATCAATGACATTTTCTTTTTATGAAAGTATAGTAGAATCATGAATTGTGGAGGTATGTAGTGTTAGAACTTATGATTCTTACAAATTTTTCATTTTGATCTTTAGGCCAAAATGATAAGCACTCGAAACTTCAAGTTCGAGATTTTCAAGATGAATGAGGAGGACGATTGTACCATATCATTCTCATTGAAATAACATAACATAGGATGAGCGATTATTCTGCACCACTCAAGTAATAGGAAAATTTAAATACGCAGAGCAGGGTGGGCAATTATACCACACCACCTAAAATTGCAATGAAATGAAACAACAGACAAATTTAAATACGCAGAGTAGGGTGGACGATTATACTGCTCCACCTAAAATTTGCAATAAAATTAGATCTACAGTCCAAGACAGGCGATGATACCGCACCATCTTGGATTGCAGTAAGATTAAATTTGCAGTTCAAGATGGGCGATTATACCGTACTATCTTGGATTGCAGTAAAATCAACATAAATAAACACTGGGTTAGTAATCAAGATCTACACCAAACAAGAAATCAAAGATATATGTAATTGTTAGGTTGAGAACTAGAAGTAGCATGGTGCAAACAGTTATTCACGAGGGTATATCTAGCAGTTGAGGTAGAGGAAGAAGATGAACAATAAAATACTTAGAGGAAACATTTTTCTTTTCTTTCAGCGAAGAGAAATGAGAAATGATTAGAGAGTTGTGCTGATAACGTGTTATAAATAGATAAAAGTTATAGAGATAACCTTTATTTTGATAGTATACAGAGTGCTCTATTTATAGAGGAACTCCAGCACACATCTTTTGAAAATACAATCTCCTTTATTTCCAAAGTCCATATTACTATGTGGGTATTGAAAATATGTGTGGACATTCATTAATCTGCCAAATATTTTTAACACTGCCAATATTTTCAACATTTTTTACTACATATATATATAATTGGGTAAAGTACAAAAAACTACCTCAACTATTGCGATCATGACAGTTTCATACCTCATCTTTTAAAATTGACAATGTCATACCGCATCTTACGAATTTGTGACAATGTCATACCTCCGTCAATTTTTCTGTTAGTTTTTCTGTTAAATGCTGACGTGGCAATAGACGGGGACCACTTTCTATTAAAAAATTAATAAAATATTATTAAAAACTAAAAAAAATATTTAATATTTTATAAATATTAAAATAATAAATAAAAGTAAAATTAAAAAAAAAAGGGTAA